TATATATATATATATATATATATTAAATCATCTTATCTGGATTATGAAGTGAAAGCATTAAAATCAAAACTGTGGTATTCAGTTAGAAAACTGTAGTGTTCACTTTTGCATTGACAGTTGAGTTGAAAATTAATGATGAAGATACTGTACAAATAATATCGTCCTAGCATTTTTGTTATAACTGTAAGTACAATAATAATAAATTAAGCGGTAATGTTAATTTTGTTTATTTAATAAACATTTGAACTTTTGAATAATTTTTGAATAAATTCCTATAAAATTTACTGAAGTTTGTCAAGACTAAAAAGAAATTTATTTTAATCAAGTAATCTATAAGAATATGTGAAAGGTTTCTTATGGTACTAAAATATAAAAATTAATTGCTGATTTAGAATTTTTGAAATCAATTATAATATACTGCAATTATTAGACCTAATCACACTTTATCTTTTTTAACTTTTAAGTGACATCATTACTTTACTTTCGTAGATTAAAAAAATTGATTTTACTGCTCTATTTACTTTGCCAATATTTTCTACTCCTTAATTTCTAAGCAGATTTTTTTAATTCCACTTTTAGATCTCGTAGACGTAAGAGCATTTTTCTTCAGTACCTTATATTAATTTGAATTTTTAGTTAATTGCAAGATGTATTTAAGTTGTTACTAAAAATAATTAATCGACACTTTAAGTTGTATAATTTTTTTTTGCAACATTTTGCTCACTTTGTATTTCTCATAATGAGCTATTGTAACTATAAGTTTCGGCTACAATCTGATAACTTTGTATTGTTTATGGAATGGAATTAATTATAATCACATGTATCAGCTGATGGATTAGATTTTTTTTCGCAGTCATTTTTCGTCATAAATGAGCAGTTAATAATCACTATTATTATTAAAGTATTCAAAACGATTCAAATAATATCAGATCGCAGTAAGCAGTAATCACGCAGACTATGGATAACAAAGACTTGATATTTTAGGATACTTTTTGAAAACTCGTAAATGAATTTGACAAATTTAATTTTGAATTTTCTCCTTATGAGGTATACTTTTATCTCAATCGAAAGAAGATTTATGAAGTAAATCGCAAAGTAAAGCATGTTCTGTCATATTTTTACCTTCAAAAGTAAGTTTAAGATATAAGTTCAATATCAAATTCCAGTACAGTAAAGTATGAAATTTTGTTTGGTATTTTGTACATATTTTGTAACTTATAATTTTATGCTTTGTATTTCTTAAAAACGCAAATTAAAATGGCTGAACATAATTCAGTAGTTATTTGCATAAATAAATTGTCTTCAGGATAACAGTTGAAACATTGCAATTATAATTTGAATTTAAAATTCTAATTTTGATTCTTAATCATTAATTCGCAACTATTGAAAAAAATGGAAGAATTCTACAAAAGCAAATTTAATCTTTATCACAGCTGTTATTTTTATACTGGATTTGTTGAACACAAAGCATTCATCAACAAATTCTACACTATTGATAAATAACTGATTTGATCAAACAATGAACGATCAATAATGATATTATTAAAAATCTGACCTTTATTACATATTTATAAACATGATCGTACAAGTTTAAAGTATATAAAAATTTTTAAATTACACCTAGAAATATTTCAAGCGATAATTTTACTAACTTAATTCATTGTTATAAAGGAATGTATGATTCATCTTTTTTTTTTAATATTTTTTATTGAGATCGTCGTATAAAGTTTCTGCCAGTAAATAACGAAAAAATCTAAGAGAAGTAAAATAAATCACTGATAAACAAGAATTGAGAGATAGCATTGTATTATTTTATGATAATGATAATGATAATGATGATAATGGTAGTAGTATTAATGGTGATTATGATTAAGATTAAGATTGAGAAAGAAACAAATGTTATGTTGACTGTTCAGTTGGGAATGAATTAAAACTAGCAATGATTATTCAAAGTGCCACTAAACAAATAACAATTCTCAGGCACGAAATGCAAGATAAATTAATAGTACAGATGATGAATATGATTATGATGATAATGATAAAGTAATAACCTGCAGATTAAAGCCTAATTTTCATTGCCTAATATTATATTTAGTTTCGTGTAAGGAAGCTTGATAAGAAAAGGTATCATATGCATTAAAAATATTTCGTGCATAATAATATAACTAATGGTATTTAATAATTACAATAATAAATAATTATGATAATAGTAATAGCAATACTAATAGTACTAGTAATGATCAATATCATTAATAATCGCAGTAATGTGTGTTGGAAACAATTTTTGTATTTCATGCATTTTTGTATTCTGCCTTTCTTACAGAATGCTACTTTCAGTTTCTTCAAAAAATATTACAATGACAAAATTGTGAATACTTTGGAGTTATGCTTTTTAGCTGTTAGCATTCAACTTTCTTTGATTGTATTGACTGAATAAATCTTATGCGAATTTATAAAAATTTGATATGCATGAATTTTTGTATAAAAGTTTACTCCTAACTTTTGTTATGAGTATTCTGAATGATTAAACTTGTCTTCTTAGTAATCCATGTATTATTTCTTCTTGCTTGCAATCATTGCTAAATAAGATGACTGAATAAAAAGAAATTTAATGAATAAAAATAAATAATAATTTAAATGCAATGATTGATTGTTTATAATTTTTTAATTTAATTCATTTATTTCTTCAATTATTATCAGCTCTGCTACTTGCATTATCTATTTTAATAGCTTTTAAATAGTTGCCGAATGAAGTAGCACCATTGCAACGATCATATCTGCAGATACAGCGAAATAAGAATTCGACGGATTCTGATGGATCGGAGACATATTTTGGGTTGAGTTGACCAAAGTCATATTTCTATAATTTGCAGTAATTTTATAAACTACTCATTTAATTTATAATATATGCGTGATAAAAATTAGCATATAAAGAAATAAATCAGATTTAGTGCTTTATTTGTTTATATTTATACTAAAAAATATTTTTACTTGAGCAAAATTTAATTCTGCTAATATTTTATATAGCTTATATGATTACGATATACGAAGACTATTTATATTACTAAGGATAAAGCAATCATTAACCTCTAGCAAGCAGACGGACAATATTTGATATATTTTATCCGACATATTGAATGCTTGATCATATGCTTTAGTCCAATCAACTTGAGGACCAACACCAAATACGCGACCTTGATCTCGATCAGGAATGTAAACGCAATAATTCCAAGACTCATTTGATATTTCATATAATTTGCCCTCAATATTTATATTAATATTTTTGCATGCTTTAATAATTTTGCTACAAAGATTATTACAACTTTTGAGAGCAAATAATTTTGTAATAAAGATTTTGCTAGCAAGAAAATTTTTGTATATAAATTGTATGCAAATTATAAGATATATTATTAGAAAGTTAAACTTACAGATTCATCATTTTCATAGCAAATTAAAGCGCTTGTATTGTTTGTAAGCATAAGCAGTAGAACAATTAATTTAGCAAGTAGTATTGTAGAACTCATCCCTTTGCGTAGAAGGTTTGATTTAAATGTGAAGTCTAAAATTAGCCATTTTTTAGATAAAATATCACATAATTATGAATAAAATGAATGTATGCAACAAGAAATTGAGACGTCAAAAAGCACGTGAAAATGTCTACGGTTTGGGAATATAACTAACGTAAGAAATTTGAAGCCGAAGATTATTACTCATTTTTTATGAGGAAGTATTGATTGCAAATTGTTGACTAAAACGATAATTCGATTTTGATGAACTTTTGATTAAAGAGATAATATAGTGATAATTGTAATTGTGAAGCATTGATCAAAAAAGTAATTCAATAATAACTTGTTTAATTAAGTTGTTTATTTCTATAAATGACAACTTTCTTAGCAACTGGACTATTTTTGATCTTTTGATTGCTGCAAACGTGGAATAGCCAAAAATATGTTGACGATTATTATGTAGGAGAATCTTAGCAAAATCTTTATCACGTATACTTACTTAGATAACATTGAAATAGCTTGTAATATCTGAATAAAATTCATACCAGACAAAATAGAACACTTAAAGTAATCAATGTTTGACTTTGTTTAAATAAATAGAACAAATTTTGGCTAGTTTGTAAGCAAAGTGAGTGATTAGAAAATTTTAACGAAATGATTTATGTAGTATTCTAAGCAAAAAAAAACCACAAAAATGCAAATTGTGTAAGGTCTATGACTATAATACTTTCACTTCGTTAACGCTAATTTTTACGCTGAAACTACTCGTAATATAAGTCTTTTCATCATACTAACTAACTACCGATAATTTATATTAAGATTCCTTCATAAATGATAATCTTGAAAGGAAGAAAGATTAGTGCAGTTATCATTAGATGTATAATACAGTACTGTAATAAGCTAGTTATTTGAATAATTATGATGACTAGATAAGGTATAATCAGAGCAATCACCACTTGATCAGTATTTGCTACTAATCGTCTCTGCACTGAAATCCAAATTACATATTGGGTGCTATTTAAATTTTATTAAATACTATATTTTTATTTTTATTTATGTTATCTTTCAATTTAACAAACTCTTGATTTACACCATTTTTAAGTCTTTACTGTAAATTTTTATTTCGAATAAAATGCATCACTATTAAGTGATAATAAGCTGAAGTATGTAGTACATTAATACATTGATTTTATTTTTTTTGTTTATTTTTTTGTAAAATTTTGTATTTCCTTCAACACTAAACAGTAATACTACTACTAGCAATCACATTCTAAATTTTATTAATTTTGATAAAATATTAGCTGAGTTTTTTTGCAAATGCAACACTAGTACTTTATGAATTAATTTAGTATTTATTACTATTATTTTTATTTTTTATTTATATTAAAATCATTACTACTAGTATTTACTATTTATTATTATTATTTTTATTTTTTATTCATATTAGAATAATTATTATTATTAAATGGTAAATTGTTGTATGACTTATTAATAACAACAGAAATTATGTGCAGAATATGATATTCATTGTGAAAACATAAAATGCTAAAAATGTATTTAATTTTGAATGAGTTTATCGTAACGAAAATATTATACTTAAGTGTGAAGTGTTGAAGAATTATGAACTTAACGTGAGATACGTGATTCCACACTCATCCCACTTTCAATCAAAGTTGAAACTATTTTTTGTTAGTAAGCATAGACTAATATTAATGTTAATAATACTCCTAACAATGGCAGTAATAATTAACGTTAATACTCGTAACAGTAACAGTAATAATATTATCCGTATTATTACTGTTATCTGTATTGTTATTATTAGTAAAAATTAGTCCTAATAATTGTAATATCAGTAGTAATACTAATCCAAATGCTAGTAGTAGTGATAGTAATAGTAATAGTAATAGTAATAGTATTAGTGATAGTATTAGTAATAGTAGTAGTAATAGCAGTAGTAATAATAACATAACTACTTGCTGTCTTTTGACCCGACGGAAGTTCTTTAACTCCGCCTTTAAGATTGAAAATGTAATGCCACGCCTTAAGCAAAGCAATAATTACATTTCCTTTTCATTTTTGAAATTAATTTTTTATTATAAAAAAGAAAGCTTAATAATTGCTGTATTTTTTAATTATAAAAAAAATAAGTTTTATAATTATTGTTATTGTTGCTAAATGATTGCATTCAGTCTGGCAAATTTATACAATGCAGTATTAATAATGAAAACTTTTAATAATATTCTTTTTTATGTCAAAAATTTTTTAGTGTTAATTTTATTTTCTCAAAAAATTTTAGGTGTTGTTTCTCACAAATGTGCACAAATTTATTAAGATTATTATTGCGTTTTATAAATATATTTAAAATATTGAAGTACAAAAATTTTGAGATGTTTATTTATTTTTTTAAAACATTGTTAATTGAAAAATTAATTAATTAAAAATCAAGAAAAATTTCATTAGTCAAATACAAAACAGATTATCATCATATTTGCCTGTCAAAAAAAAGAACATCAAATTTTTGTATTACGGAAATTGGGGATAAATAGTAGAAATGAAATTTTGCGTTTTAACGTGTGTTGATGGTTATTTAGTTTGAAATAATTATGAAAAATGAGAAGTCACGTCAAAACTTGGAAACTTGAACATTTTGCGTGGTGTACAATGTCTATATGAATATCACGCAGGAAAAAATTACAATATATATTTTAATGTATTTTCGATACTATCACTTAAAATTTCTGAATTGAATTTGAAAATGACAGTAAAAAGTTGGATTATATGAGTAAGAATATTACGTAAAAAATATAATTCATAAATTAGATAGATGTACACCAATAATCGTACAAGTAATAGCAGTACAGTTATGCATCAAAGTTGAAAGACAAAAGTTTGAGGAGATTAATTTAATTATTTGATTACACTTCATGATAATTCATTCCCTAAAAAGTTTTATGAGTAAAATGAAGCAAAAAGTAATTCATTTATAATGTGGTTGCCAGGGAAGGCAGTCATTACTGGAAAGTAAAAATTTATTAATTTATACTACAAAATTGATATTTCCAATAATCTTTTCGTTAGCTAAAAGCATTCATATTTAATATTTATTTATATTTAAAGGTCACAGCTTAATTGAATTGCTAAAAAATCAGAAATTTAATAACTTAAAAGAAAATTTACTCTTTTTTTTAGTTTATAATAGCAGCAATTTTTTATATTTTTAATATTATTACAGCACTTGACATTTGGAAAAAATACTGCTAGAAGATTTAATTTTGGAGTAAAATGAAATTTATTATGAACAAAAATTGATAGAAACTTTTAATTCAGCATTTTTATACAAAGTTGTGTATGATTAAATTAAATATGTAACTACTACTAAATAGTTAGTTACTTATTGACATTGAAAAGGTTAACTTATCTAATTATTATTTATTACTAGTAATAATTTTTTTTTCTTCTCACAATATTGCAACGCAGTGGTAATGAGTTTCATAAATTTCTGTCCACGTACTTCTTTCAGGGCATTTGTAATAGTACTGAATACAATATTTACAATTTATGAATTACGTCTATGCTTCAAAATTTGCATATTTTTTTCGCTCAAAGTACAGAATAATCAGTGATAAACTATTATGCATAAAATCTCGCATATTACACTTTATTATATGTTTGTAATAATAATCGGAGATATGTAGTAGTTCTTTCGAACAATAAGTATATCTCATGCACTGTAACTAGATAAAGTTGACTGTTATGGATTTTATACCAATCAATTTCAAAAAATAATTGTATAAATTTAATGATTTTTCTTACCAAACCTTATTGTTTACTGTATTTGGTAAAGTGTTGTTTAAATTTACAAAGTATGAGTTTATTTATTTATTCATAAAAAGTATACTTAATTAAAATAAAATGGAATGCAATTTTGTTAAATTACCAGTATTACCTCTTTTTTTCCTCATTATTACTACTACAAAACTACTCTGTGGTAAAGTTTGTGAGCAATCTTTTGCTTAGAGCAAGCAAAGATTTGTTTATTGTACATGATTTTAGTCTTGTAATGAAAATAATGCTTTATTGATTGTATAAAAAGTTACAAGTATTCCTGAACAAAGTTTTGTTCTTAGAACACTAGAACATTTGCTGAAATTATTCAAAAGTATTATTCAAAAAACAAGAAATTTTTAAAATTAAATTGATAATCAAATAGCGATAATCAACATTTTTATCAATAAAACCTTTGAAAGCGAAATTATTAGTGATAATATATTGATAATAAGTTATTACGGATGATAATCTTATAAACTACGGTTATATTCCTGCACGTCTATCTGTTATCCTTAACAAATGCAATCTAAGCGCTAGGTTTTTTTCTGTCTATCTACTATCATTTTGTCGATGACAATAATAATTATTATAATAACAATAATAAATATAGTTAAAGATTTTATTTTTATTAATTTATTACAAATATTATAACTTTTATGATCATTTGTACAGACCTATGCTAATATTATATTATAACTGAGTAAAAGTTTTTACAAATTTGATCAAACATCCTTTACTGCACTAAAAAATTGCAACTGAAATAATAATTTTAGCTCGCTTGTGCAAAAATTTTTGCAATAAGTATGACGTAGTATTAAGTTTAATTAAATTTAAGTGAAAGCTATATAATGACGTAATTAATAAAAGTAATCAGAATTGATTAGAAAACAATTTATTAAAAGTAATCATTAAATAAATGAATAAATAAATAATTTTTGAAATTAAGCTTCAATTTTAGAGTGTACAGCGAGCTTTTTCACGTTATGAATTTATTCGTTTGTGGAAATTTGCGGATGAATCTGTTGATATGGAAAACAAAGAAGCATACGCTATTATTTTACTTCAGAATCTCTGGAATTTGGTACTTTTTAGGTTTATTGAAAAATTGTAAATGAAAGACGCGTAAATAAGTTGATTATTCAATTGACTTGACGCGTTTAAAAAAAATTAAACGTTGTTACTAAATATAATTTCTTTCTTATTTGCTCAAGTAATTATTAATTTAGTCTAAGAATATCTTGGTTTTTGGTCATTGCATTAATTAGTAATCTGTTTTACTCTTAATGATATCAACTTTAAAAAGAAATGTTATTTAAGCGTTCTAATCATTATTATCAGATGCAAGTAACTGTGAAAATTACTTGATAAATTCACGGGTGAAGAAGTTGTTGACGTCAATAGTTTAATTGTATACTCTTGTGAAAGCTCTAATATCCTATGATTATATATGCAGTAACAAAAGTTAAGATTGAAGATGTAAATCACAAACTTTTAAAAGTCTGAAAGATTGAATGACAAATTTTACAAATATTTTTTTTAATTAAATTTTTTAATTACATTTCAAATTGAGTATGTTTAGACAATTTTCAAAGCTTATTAAATGTATTAAAGCACTTTTATGCAGTATTTTCATTTTATATTTTTTATTAAGCATCAAAATATTCATATCAGAATTCAATAAAAAATAAGATAAAATATTGGTTTTTATTTTAATACATATCAAACTTTTATCATTAAATATCATACAATGTATGCAGTAATTATTTACTTTAATAAGACAGTACGGTTACTATTAATACCATATTTGGCTTATGTTACAAGGAACATATTCTTATTTTTAGATTAAGAGTAAGTAACTAAGAGAATCATTAGTTATTACTTGAAAAGCTTAATCTAATTGGTTATGGCTAGCATCTTTATACAGAAATTTGACATGATTAAATAACATTGGTTGTAATAATTTTAATAACTTTTTGATATTTTAATTAATTACTAAAATTTTCAGCAAAATGAAGCGCAGGAATTAAAAGATGAAGTAATGACACGTCGTTGCATAGAGGCCATACGATTCTTAGCATCACTTTGGGTCTTATACTGTTTTGAAAAAACAGAAGCTGGACAGTGCTCTACTTTTTATGTTGAACTTTTTGGTAGCAATAATCCTCGCCAAATCATTAATACTCATTTGTGTAAAAGTCAATTAAGCCATGTAAGTTTTCATTTTATTAAGTGATGTAATAAATAAGCCATAATACTAAGGTACTGTATTTTTATATACAGTATTTATTAAATTCATTATACTTGAAAAAGACTATCAATAGCGTTATATATTTGTCGAAGAAATATTACTACATTTTTTTTTCAATTTTATAATTTTAATTAATTAGGTAGTATATGTATATCATGTGGTTGTCTTTTACACAAAGTATACTCGGAAATATCGCTTGTTTTACTTCATATCTAGACTGCATCATTGCTGTCATGTTTTGAGCTTGTATAAAAAACAGTGGTGTATTGTAATGGAATACTGTAAATATGCAAATTATTTTTAAAATTATAGCAAAACTTTAGGGTTTTTATTAAATGAAATAAATACAAAATATGTTGCAAATATAATTATTAATTTAGATTGGAATGGTAATTTTTGCGGATATGCTAAAATTGCGATTAGAATTATTAGACTGTACAGGTGGAAGTATAATTGATGAAGAGCAACCTGAATTATTACAAAATTGGATACCAGAAGATTTAAGTGCAGAAATGCATCTAAAACCTGTGCTCACATTTTTGAAGGTCGATCGAACTAATTTTCTCTATGCATTACATTCTACTTTCAAGTAAATTATTTCTTTTCATTATATATTATATCTAAATTTATGCTTCACATTCAGTACTACAAAATAGGTCAAATAGTACTGATGGTTATAGATATAATAATAATTGATTAATTAATGATTAGGTCATTAATGTAAACTATTTATCTGTGATACTGCAATCATGACTGTGATATTTTTACAACGTGTAAAGAATATCGCTGAGATTTTTGTAACACCTCAAAGCAGTAAGTTTGACTCATTTACTCAATCAAAATTCATTATCAGTATGGTAAATTTTTGAAAAATATCACAATTTAAATTACTTACACTTGTCAAGTAAATTTTTGAACAAGAAAATCGTATTTAGATTGTAAATTTATTAGAAATTTTGTTAAATGATTTAATTTTGAATATTTTCAGGTGATATCTGTCATTTTGGTATTCGAATATTTAAATTTATTTTCTCCACGAATGTTTGATCAGTCTTCAAAACGAGCAAAGTCATTTGTGATCATGTAGTTATTGTTGTTGACTTTTTTGTATTTTTTACACTCCTGACTTCAGTGATTACGTATTAGACGTGTTGAGTTTCGTGCTTCACTTTATAATTACGATTACAATTATAATATGTAGTAGGTGAGATTACTTACTTATTTTATACTCTAGATACTTTCTCAGACAAGTTGCTTTGTTGAGATTGCCGGTATTCATTGTTTATTTCATATTTCTTACAATTAATTTATATGTTTGACTTGGGTCTATTATGAATGTTTATGAAGTAAAGATTTTTTGCACAACTGAATATATTTCTTGAAAAATCAATGCATTATAATTATTATTAAAGAGTTAACTTCAAAATTGTATTAAAAAAGTATTCATATATTTGCAACGTATTTTGAAGTACGATGAATTTTTAATAACTATTCAGAACAAGAATTTAAAGCTATTAATAGTGACGACAAATTTAACGGAGTAGTTTTGAAGTACGATGAATTTTTAATAACTTTTTCATTAAAAATAATTTAATTCAAAAAGAAAGAATATTTTTTTGTTTAATGAGTTGTACTCATTGCAAGCAAATCTATGCAAAAATCTAACAGTAAATAAATATGTAGACTATACTTTTGGACAGTTTTATATCAGAGTTATAGTTAAAATGAAAGAATACAAGAACGATATTGTAATCAAAATTTTGTAGTTCCGTAGTTGCAATCACATATCAGGAATGTGGCAATAACCTCTAAATTTATTGAATATTCACACAAATCAGATTAATAATGACTGCTGAAAGTACAGCAGTTATTAAAATAAATCAGAAGAATTTAGATATTTGAAATATTTGATCGAAAATATTATATTAAATACTCAAAATTAAGTTTCATATTCTTTTTCACTAATTAAGTTTTAGTTTGAAGTTATTAAAAGTTAATTTTATTTATGCTATAAGTACTCAAAATGGTTTCAAGCATGTAGAGTAAAAATAAGGCTACTTTTTTGAAGAAGACTAACATTTGAAGCAGACAGCTTTAAAACGGTTTCCTAGTAATACTGTTCATGTAAGTAGTCTGAGATTGAATAATTAAATTTAAATCAATAATTAAATTTAATTGAATAATTCAATATAATTCATGGGATTGTCATATACAATAAATAAGTTCTTGGAAATATTCAAACTTAATAAACTGAGAATTTTGAAGATTTTAGCAAATTAAATTTACTCATTTAATGTCAATAATCTGAACTGAATTTTTTGCACAATTTAATATTTGCCAACTGATGTACAAACTTTAGTGCTTGTTCATTACTGAAGCTAAAATTTTTTAGTAATTCAAGTAGAACTTGAATTACTGATTTCCTTTTTAATTCAGATCAAATTTAGATCATATGAACTTGTAATCACTTTTTTTTATTTAGGATTATTTCATATTATTGAAATCTTTTTGCCAAGCTATTCTTATAAGCAGTGTAATTATTTCAGGTATTATGAGAAAATGAGTTCATTTCAAAGGGTCAAACTTGACCATACGAAGATTTATTTTATTACTTAAAGTTTAGTCGATGATTACAAAAGCATTATCATGTGTAATAAATAATTAAAAAATTAAAAAAAAACAATATTAAAGTTATTAAAAGTATTATCTTTCATAAGGGAAGTCTGAAATTTCAGAACTAGGTAAATTATCACTTTGATCTACAGAGAAACCAAATGAAAATGGTGCAAGAATTTTGGATACCCCACAATCTGATGAGCAATACATTGCGGGTATTCCAGCTTCTCCCGGAGGACCCCACTGACCTTTTTCTCCATACAAACCTGTCTAAACAAAAACTTTTTGCATATATTCAAAGACGCAATTTAGTTGAAAAAATCAAAACAAATAATAACTTTAAAGCTTACATTTCCTGGTGGTCCAGGAGGACCTATCGCTCCTGGTGGTCCTTGTTTGCCAGGAATATTAGATCGTCTACCTGGTATACCTTGAGGTCCTTTCACACCCATTGGACCAGGTGAACCTTTTGGTCCTTTCACACCAGTACCAGCTGTAAATTTGCTAATTTCACTTCGTTTGGGCCATTGAGCAATAGTTTAATCAATCAACTGCTAATATCTCTAAATACTGCACTTTGATTTGATCTTAAATAAATTGTGGTATTTTTGAACAAATCTCAAAACTAACCAAAGGCATCGTCGCCATTCATTCCAGGGTGTCCAACTGCTCCTTCTGCTCCTCTCATTCCTTGCGGTCCTCTATTTCCTACAAGTCCATTTTTTCCTGATTTACCTGGCCGACCTAAAATTATTAAGCATATTACGTTGAATTTCTCAAAATTATGATTATTTTAGATTTGGAAAAGAAAAAATCTCGTAATCCTTCAAAATTTGTTTGCTTTATTGGTTATGTCACACTTTCATAAGAAAAAAAATGAGCTAATTAACCTACTGGACCAGGTGAACCTTGAAAACCTGGTCTGCCACGTTCTCCCTGTGAACCTCGTAACCCTGGTGGTCCAGCCGGACAGATAGAACACGGCAGGTCAGCCGATGGTTCAAGCATGACATCTTCTCCATCGTCACCAGGTGCACCAACTTTTCCAGGTTTTCCAGGAACTCCATCAGCTCCTGGTACTCCTACGGGTCCAGGCTCACCCATTAGACACATCAGACGCAAACATCCTGAAGTAACGTGAATATTTGCTTTCACAAATTACTTGGATACTACATCAATTGTAATTTGACATGCAAATCATGTCTAATACTTACTACTACATTTATCGACTATTTCAAGAAATGGGTTTGCATATCGCAAAACACGTGTATTATTGACGTGTGAGCTCATTTGTTTAGCGTGCATGATTTCGATCCAAAGAGCTGTAGATTTTCTCTAAAATTGCCAGATATTTATAAAATCCTAATTAAAATCACAAAAAAATGATTTCATAGTTCTTGTTCTCATATAAAATTCTTACAGTCTTCCACTCAATTTAAAGGATAAAGGTTTTAAGGAATTTGCAATTTGGTCACATTAATAAATTTAAATTTGTTCACCAACAGATGATCTGTAAATTTTAAATTAATTTAATTCTACTTATTACATTTGCGATATTTACTGATGACCACTTGATAGAAATTTTAAACAGTTTATAAAATTTCATTTTTGGTTGTCATGTTTGAAAAGTTTGCTGATCAACACGTTATATATAGCAGTTTTAACATAATAACATGATAAGTAAAGTGATTCCATAAGCAAACACCTTAAATGATTCCGTACGTGACTGTACTTCAAATCGCGTGAACTTTATTTCACGTTGTATTACAATACTTGTTAATAGCAAAGCAAACAGCGTGATAACTGAAGTTGCAATTGTTGCCAAACCGAGAGTAAAAAAGAAGAAATTATTTTTTCCAGCCAGAAACGATATCTATAATTGATACTTAAAAGTGAAATTATTTTTAAATTATTTAATTTTATGTAATATAATTTAATAAAATTACTCGCATCAAAAAAAATTATTTTTAAAAATTAATAAATATGTTTCATTTACTCTTTACGTATTTCAAAAAATAGCAATAATATTTAAAAAATTTTTTGAATTTTTGAGAGATTGAATACAGTTTGCAAATTTGTTAATTTAGCATCAAAATATGCATAAAATATTGGTTATTCTTATAACCAAAAATTAGCATAAACATAAATGAAAGGGAAAAAATTGTAAGTTTAAAATATAAAAATACGAATAATTAATAAAATAATATTTGACAGTATATTGTAAAATGACAGTGAAAATTTTATTAGCAATATTGACCTGAGATTACAAAACCATTTTATTTTGCTTGCAAGCATACCAAACTTTTGCATTTTGTTTTTTATAATTTGAATAAATTTTGGTAAAAAAATACAGTGATAACAGAAAAATTACTTAGAAATAAACAACTGTAATAATATAAATATACTGAAATAGGACTTTGCCATTTAAATGTTTTATAAGTTATCAAAAGCTCTCCTTGACTTTTTGACTGATTAATAGTTAGTGAAAAAAAAGATTACTAATTATGGTAACTGAATAAAATTAAAATAGTATAATTAATTAAATGATTATCAGTTCAATTTGTAAACTAAATTCAGTGTGATTTGATTTATTGAATGCTTTTTAGATCATGATTTGTTTCATGAACCCAGTTATTACATGATTTACTAAAATCACTGGATAAACTCGTATTAATAAGTAAAGTTCGTTTGTTACTTACTTGCATTTCAAATTTTATCTTAGGCGAGTCTGCGGCTTGCTTCTAATCAAAATTTTATTTATCTAAATTTATAATTTTGTTGGAATGCTACTGAAATTTAATTAAGAAATTGAAATTGACCTAAACTATAAAGCATCACTTGAAAAAATATTAGCATTAAAGTGATTTTATCTAAATCAAATTATCATTTTTGAGAAAAAAATTTAATTTTATTCTAAAATTTTTTGGTTCATAGACTTATTTAATCACCAGTGATCAAAGTATCTGTGATTTAAGGATTTTTTAGAAAAAAAAGATTTAATTTAGTTTAATTTCAAAAATTTGGTGCAGGTTTAATGAAATATATAAGCCTGTTCATGCCAAGCAAGAAAAATTTACAACTTTAGTCATATGAAAATTGAAAAAATAATTGAAATAACTGACTGACCTTCATTATAAAAATTTCTCATAGATTATTAATATGGCAACAGTACCATTTGTATTTGATAGATTATCACTTCATATGAGATTAATTTCAAATTTTTAATAATAATAACATGACCGACATATCTGAACTGGCCCAATTCTATGATTATCTTCATAGAATTCCACACAATATTTCAATGATAATTACACAAATTTCTGTAAATAAATCAGTTCACAAACTTATATACTATTTTTATTAAGTATGATTACTATTTTTATAAATATATTTGCAATATCATGATATATATTTGTAAAATATTAGCAGTTGCAAGTTCTAAAATTCATAGTACTGGTCATTTTTTGGCACATCTAACTCATAAATAAAAAAAATAATTAGATAAATTAAATCATTAGCTAGGAATGATTAAAATAAAATATAAATGAGAAAATTCAATTTATTAAAATATGTGAAACCAAGTGATTCAGTTTCGCGTGTTCTCAGACTAAATTAAAGACTACGCATTGTAATACTTTAATCACCTCCAAGAATTGCTTGTGCATAATTATTCTGATTCTTCATGATAATAATGATCAGCTAGTAATCATTATCAATAATTAATCATTACTAAAATAATTCATTTTAACAAGTCGAATAAACAATTAACAGAATTTATAAGTAATAAATGAAGTAAAATTAATATAATTATGTTATTATTATTTTTAGTAACAATTACAAATAAATTTGTCTCTGTAAGCCAGCAAATCAGATTTTTATCAAATTACATATCATTATTAATTAAGACAGAAAATAAGATTTGATGATTCATTCAAAAATTTGATGACACATTCAGGATTAACTTGAATAACTTGCCTTCTGACAATATTTTGTAAATTATTATAGCACATCAGAAATGACCAAAAGTAATTTTAATTGATAGCTAATACAATTTGTTATCAGTAATTTATTTGGTAACTTCAAAAAAGTCATAAATTTGTATATTTTTTTTAGTGATTTAATATGGGCTGTAAAATTATACAACGTATAAAATTCTGAAACACTGATAATAAGTACAAGTACTGATAATAGTAAAAGTACTCTGATAACAAGTAAATGTTAGTTATTATATTCCCATAATAAATAAAAATATCAGACTATTAAATAATTGAATTTACAGCAAGTTAGATTTCCCTCTGACGGAGTTGCGAGGAAAGCGTAATTTCTGAAGACGCCATCAGTTCTACAGCAGTTTTATTGCTGCCATTTTGGTTCATATCACTACTTTTTTCCTTCTGTGTACTATTTTTATCTTCATTCCTTCCTTGAAATTTTTCAGATGCTTCAGTTACTGATGAAGCTTTTGCTTTCCAGTTATAAGCATCACGCTTTTGACGTGGTGATTTTATCAAACGATGATGCATATGACGAAATACCTATAAAATTCTAGTTCATTAAATCTATAATAACATCAGTAAATATTTATAATATTTCAATTTATAAACTGAATTACTTTTACGTCATCAAAAATAGGATCACGACGAATATGTACGTGATCTGGCGCTTCATCAGGTGTGAATACCGTCACTTCTACTTCATCTGCTTGAGTATCTTCCAATTTTACTTTTTTAGCTTTTGACATTTTTAGCATTTCAAGAAGTTTATAAGCCAATCTGAAAGTAAATATTTATATAAGTCTAATGCTTAAAAATTAAAAAATGCATACAAAATTTATTTTTTGATCAATGTTACAACAATTTAATTTTTATAGCAAAATATAAATTTGTGTTTTATAAAAATTAAATTTTCATTTATAATACTAGAATGTACTGTAATGTTTAGTATTAGTGCTTGATCTGAAAGTGATACAATAGCTCAAGTCAAAAAGAAGATCAAAATATAAATGAGTAAATATATACGGATGACAGAGCCAAAAATAGAATAATGGAATAATACAGCAACAAAGCAACATTCCAGCACTTATTAGATAAGTATCTCTTATAGATAAACTTGCCAGTCTATTTGCATGATCATCAGCTAAAATTTACTTTTTAAAAATAAAAATAAAAATTTTTTAATTAAAAACTGAAAAACTTAATTACTAATTTTCATGTTAACCGTGCTTAATACTGTTTATATTTTATACTTTAATTTAGTATTGTTTTATGCATGCAGTTAGACTGATAAATATGTACAGATATCTCTTGAAGATCCTGCTGAATGCATTTGCGCAGTCAGTACCATTATTGTTTCTTGGCAGTTTTATTATTAAAAGTTATTTTCTTAGCTAAAATTGAGTAAAGTTTGTATTCATAATTGCTCTTTTTTTTTTCAAATATTTTTGCCATTTTTATAATTCGAAAATAATAAAATTTTACTTTTTACGCAGCTAAGTTATTGTTGCTTCAATCAATACTTATACATGTGCATAAATATGTTTACTAAAAAATTTCCAAATATTCAAATTGTTGTAGTTTATCCAACAGCTGAAGTAATAAAAAAGTTGCTATAAGGTATAATTATTTGTTAAATTATAAAAGGTACTATAATTTATTAATTAATGTGTTAAATGCAACAGACTGCAGTGTTGAACCGTCCGATTAAAACAAATTGATACGTTAAAAATGATACTGTAGTCGAATTTTTGTAATTTTACAAGATGGTTTTGCATATAAGCTGTATTTATGCAAAACATTATTTATGATAGTAGAATTATTGTTTTCTTGCAGAAGTTTAGTTGATTAATACAAGTTATAATAACTGGCGAATACACGATGATAATAATAATGGTAATGACAATATATAATAATAATTAGATTAATAAAAGTAATCAGTAATAAAGCGCTGAAAACCATTACTCTTCCAAGAACTTTTAGTAAGCAATTTTGTATATTAAATAAAATTTTGTACAAAATGTTAAGGAGAAACAAGTTACATTAGTATCACAAATGTTATATGCATTTATGCATAAAAATTTTATCTGATGCAAGTTTTATTTAATATGCAAATTATTTGATATGCAAATTGTTCGTTACTACTTTGTATTAATAAAATAATGGACATTCAAATATTTGAAAAAAGAAATATGAAGTTAAGCGCTTATC